TACCCCACCCCTTCCCTCTCCACTGCTCCCCCCAGCGCCATGCAGCCAGCTACTGGGACCTTCCTTCCAACTCTGCTGCCACCATCATTACTGCACCACCCTCACCTTCCTCCAGGTTGCCTTCAGCAGACTTCAGGCTCCTGCTTTCCCTCAGCAGCCCCCTCACCCCAGTCTTTTCTCCACACAGCAGCCAGAGTGAACCTTGAAAGGATTAAACTTGATCTCAGGACGCCCTGATTAAACCACTGAATGTTTCCCATTGCTCTCAGAAAGGAGACACAATTCCTCTTTACCTCCAACAACAAGGACCACCAAGTCTGGTCCCTGCCGATGATCCTACTTCATTTCCACTCTGCATCCCCAGAAATATCAGATTCCCTGAAAGCCCTCACAATCTCCGAGCTACTCCTGACCCATGTTTAGTCCAAGCTGTTCCCTTTGCTCAGGGCATTCTTCCCTCCTTTCTTAGTTAGCATCTCTACCTCTTCAGATGTCAGTTCAAGCATCACTTCCTCAGGGGACCTGCAAGGTCAAATTCTCCAATTACACGCCCTTGCTGCCCCAAGTACCTGTCCGTTGTAGAGTTTTTAGAACCTGTCACAACTGTAACTTAGCGTTTAATTATGGAAGCTCTGGATGCATTTCTTTCCTCCCTGCAATACAAGCCCAGTGAAGGTCAATACCTTATCTCTTTGGGCAACTGTATCTTCCATGCCTAGTGTAGTGCCTGGCATGGAGTGGGCACCTAGTAAATAAGTTTCACTGAACAAGTAAAATAAAAACATTAGTAGGAAAGATTTTTATCAAAAATGTAAATCCTAGGTACCCATTTGGGATTATTCTCCCACCCACTATACAGATAAGGAAACTGACAGAAAAGTGAAGGAACTGACTCCCATCTCCTGGCTTAGCAGTAGAGCCAGGGCTGGAGCCCAGACATAGCTCCCAACCCAGGGGGCGTTTGACCCCTGCCGGCTGAGCTCAGGTGGGCTCTGCCTGCATCTCCGGTGCTTGCTGCCTGCACCGTGCTGCCTCTCCAGGAGGTGGGCTGCCTGGACTTTGCAGCTGCTGCTGGGCAGGGGACGGTTAGTGCTGGCGGGGGATGTCTGCTCTGCCATCAGGGTCCTATTTCTTATTCACGATGTGTTACCATACAAGGAGCTTTGCTGCAAACAAACAGGCCGACACAGCTCCTTGCTTCAAAGCCATCCTGGGGGCAGGAACAGAGCCTGGCCTGGCCAGGGTCCCCGGGGTGTCGCTGAGTGGGCCAGGAAGAGGTGGGCGCTGGGCTTGATGCAGACGGCACGGAACAGGTGGCTACTTGAGAGCCACTGGCCGCAGCGAGAGAGGGCTGCTCAGGGAGCAAGGACGGGCCGAATCTCTGGAGCGATCGCCGTGTGCGCTCTCCCAGCTCTTTAAAAATAGACACTGCAAAGGGGGAGAAGAGGCAAGCAAGAAAATACATTCTTCCAAGTGTGGTCAGAAGCACTTTTTTATGTTTCTTGCCCTCTCATCTCTCATGCTTTATTCCCCCTGGGAGATGAGGATAATGCATTTCTGGTGCCTGAAATCTACGGGCCAGCCTGGGACACTGAGTCTGCGGAAGCCTGCAACGAGCCTGGCCCTGTGGCAGGGGCTTTCAGTGGCACGTAATCCTCAGAATAGCCCAGGGAAGCTTTTTGTTGCTGTTCTGTTTGGATTCAACAAATATTTGAGCATCTCTTCTGCTAGCCCCAGGGCCTCCATAGTGAATTCCTGCTGTCATGAATCCCACATTCTACGTCCCTGAAACCACAAGACAGTTGATGCTATAAAGGGGAGAGTTTGAGTGATGGGGCACGGAGTCACCAAGGTAGGAGGTGGGGTGTTGGATTGGGAAGTCAGGGGAGGCTTCTCGGAGGAGTTGATATCTGAGCTGAAGCCTGACGGAGGAGGAGGAATCCAGCTGTTGAAAGAATGGGGTTGCAGAGGAGCAGTCAGTGATAGAGCAGCAGGTGCAAAGGATGGGAAGGGGTGTCGAGGACCCAAGGGAGAGAGGAGATGAGATGGTTGGAGCAAAGTGAGAGGGACCCGTGCAAAGGAGAGGGAAGGTGGGAGGTGACGAGGACCAGTGCAGGTCACTGCGGGGTTGGAAGTTTACTCTGAAAGCAACGGACCTTCCCCGCAAGGCTATAAGTAGATATGCTCCTAGGTTTTATGAGATCAACCTAGGCCCTGTGTAACGAACGGATTCAAAGCTGAGAGAAGGTCAGTGGGAAGCTATGGTGGTAGCAGAAGTCCAAGATGGCAGCCAGTGGTGGTGACGGAGGTGATGGGAAGCAGGGGATGCCTGGGTGTGGGTGTCCAGGGAGAGGGAAGAGTCAAGGGTGCTTCCTAGGTTATGGGTTTGTGCAATCAGATGGATGATGCTGCCATTCATAGAGGTAGGAAAGGTGCAGGGAGAACCAGGTGGGAGTTGGCATTGGTGGGAATCTAGATTTTGTTTTGAATATAAAGGTTTCAGGACAAATCATGTAACCAGGTAGAGTTTATGGTTGGATTTATGAGTTTGGAGCTCAGATAACACTCAGCAGAAATTAAGGTTTCAGAGGCACAAAGCTGTAGATGGTACAATCCAGCAGGACCTTCCATGGACTGAGAGTTGATTGATGGCCAGTTGCAAGTTCCATGATGGCGGGGACCATGCCTGTCATTGTCTTTGCTCTCTGCCCCCTCCCCACTCGACACCTACAAACTAGCATTTGTTAAGTCCTTACTGAAGACTGAAAGGTGAAAGTGCTGAGAAAGCCAAAGGTGTGATCCCTTTCTTCAAGGAGCCTGTATAACAAGAGACCATTCAGAAGCAAACACAGCCTCAAAAGCACAGAGCAAAGAAGCTGCAGGACCAGTTTGGAATCCAGGGCCATTCAGATGAGCCAGGGTTGGCATTTGCCTTAGCCTCACAGAGCCTGCCCTGCTGGGGGGTCCAAATTAAGAGGCTAAGTGCACTTGTGAGGCAAACACTTGAAGAACTTGAGAAGAAGCACTTTCTAAGCCTTTTAGAGGATCTGCTATACGCTCAGCGGGTTTGTGCACCATTTGTTTGGGTTTCCTGGGCGCGTCTGTGTCTTTGCTACTGCACTTGTCTTCTTGCCCTGCAGGCCTTTGCTCTGGAGACACCCTTACATCCTCCCACCCAGCTCCCTCTCTGTCCCCAAAACCAAAAGTGTAGCGAGGGTAGAGGGCTTTATCGGACTGATTTCATAACCTCAGAGGCTGGCTGGGTGCTGGGCATGTGACAGATGGCAGATAAGCAGTACTCACAATAGACACTAGAAGCACAGTGGGGTTTATTGAATAAATGAATTCTTAGCCTTTTATTGAAGCAAATTCTTTAAGGATCTCTCTTAGTTGATCTTTCCTCAAATTACTATGTAGGATCCAATGGCAACAGAACTACATTGGAGGTTTTAAAATGTATTATGTGGTAGCTGTGTGATCTGGAATAAGTCTCTGACCCTCTCTGGGCCTTGGTTTCTTCTAAACAGCCTAGAAAGGGTTGGCAACACCTATAGCGTGGATGAGTTTATACGTGTTCATTAAAAAGCAGAGACATTACTTTACCAACAAAGGTCTGTCTAGTCAAGGCTATGGTTTTTCCAGTGGTCATGTATGGATGTGAGAGCTGGATCATGAAGAAAGCTGAGCACTGAAGAATTGATGCTTTTGGACTGTGGTGTTGGAGAAGACTTTGAGAGTCCCTTGGACAGCAAGGAGATCCCACCAGTCCATCCTAAAGGAAATCAGTCCTGAATACTCATTGCAAAGACTGATGCTGAAGCTGAAGCTCCAATCCTTTGGCCACCTGATGCGAAGAACTGACTCATTGGAGAAGACCCTGATGCTGGAAAAGATTGAAGGTGGGAGGGGAAGGGGATGGCAGAGGATGAGATGGTTGGATGGCATCACTGACTCGATGGACCTGAGTTTGAGTAAACTCCAGGAGTTGGTGATGGACAGGGAGGCCTGGTGTGCTGCAGTCCATGGGGTCGCAGAGTCGGACACGACTGAGTGACTGAACTGAATTGATCCGGGTGGCGAGGGGCTCCTGTCTGAGTGAAGGCTAAGGCAGGGTACTTGGGTACTTGCAATCTCTGCTTGGGGAAGGCAGACTGAGCTGCGGGTCAACGCCCGAGGTTAGAGGCAGAAAGAGGTAAAAAAATTGGTAAAGTGCCTGGTGGAGAAAAACGCTGAGACAAAGACTATATGTTATTTTTACAGTAAAAAATCATAAAGGGAATTCCCTGGTGGTCCAGTGGTGATAAATCCTCCTTCTAAGACAGGGGGCATGGATTTGATCCTCGGTTGCGGAACTAAAGTTCCACATGCTGCAGGGCAACTAAGTCAGCATGCAATTACTGAGCCGTGCTCTCCAGAGCCAACACATGCTGCAATGAAGACCCAGTACAGCCAAAATTAAAAAGAAAAAAAACCAAGATATCCATGGACAGTCCATCAGCAAATATAGCTGATTCTGCCTCCAAAATCTCTTTCAAGTCCACCCACCTCTCCCCCTCCCCCTCTGACCCCCCAGTCCCTCTCCCTCCCCAACCTCCTCCCCTAGCTGCCCCCCCCAGACTCCGCAGCAGTCTCCTCACTGCTCTCTGCCTCCTTTCTTGTTTTGCACAACAGGATGACATTTAAAAAATATAAATTAACTCACATCCCCGCCTTGCTTAGAACCCTCTGGGGATTGCATCATGCTCAAAATAAAATCCAAACGCCTCACTTTGGTCTTGAATGACCTGGCCCAGCCTCCCTCTCTAATCTCACCCCTACTCCTCTCTCTTCCACCGATGTCCCACCCATTTCTCCTCCTCTCAATTCCTCAGGCCCAGCCCTCAGGCCTCACCCCACCCTGTTCCCTCCGCCTGGAATGCTCCATCCCTCACTTTGGGCAGGATGGCTGTCAGGTCTCAGCATAAATGTCACCTCCTCAGAGAGGTCCTCCCTGATTACCTGATCCCAAAGTACAACCTCCAATGAGTTTATATCATTGAATGGCATCCTGTTGATTTCTTTAGTAGCTCTCCTTGAAATTTTTTATCTGTCTGTTCATGTGTTTATCATCAGCTGCTAGACCATAAACTCCACAAAGAACAAATACCATGTAACATTTATTCCCCAGTGAATCTTTTGGCACATAGCAGATGCTCAGTAAATGGTCCTTGCGTGAATAAATCCTCCCCAATTGGAACAGACCCCAGCATGACTCCAACACAGTGAAGACAGAGGGAGGAGGAGAGCTATTTGGATATCTTGAGGCTTTGGTGTGGGACCCACAGGACCACAGTGCTCTCAACGACACAGCAATTCAAGCACCCACAGAAACTGCATCCGGCCCTTAGGCGACCACTGATGGTCTCGCATGGAGTATGCTGGACTACTCCTTCCCCCAGACTTCCAGAAGCACTTAAAGGGACTCTGTGGGGTTCTAGGGCCCCACCTAGTTGGTGGCGCCCCACGCCTGTGGGTTTTGTATATTTCTGTTAATGACCCTTGTTGGTTGCTCACCTTCTTGTTGGCCCTTGGCTCTCCGTAGTAAATTCAATGCCATCTGGATTAATCGCATCTGTATTCCAACCCGAGGTGCATCCTTTAACAGGGAGTCAAGCTGAGCACGCCCTTTGAAAGCTGGCTCTTCCAGAGGCCAAGGGACTTCACGAAAAAAATGACTTATTCCTGGGAAAAGGCGTGAGCAGAATCATCTTTCACAACTTGTGCACTGTTCCTCGCCTCTGCAGGTGTTAACTGGCCCGTGTAACATAAGCAAAAAGCATGAATTTAAACTGGCTTCTGCAGGAGGTTTCTGGCCTATGCTGAACCTGCTATTTCAAAGTGAAAAAGGAGGGCGTGATGCTTAAGAACCAAGGCATACCCATTCACCTACTTAACTCCTGGATGCCCCAGGCATCCCCAAGGTGAGTACCTGTCCACTCCAGCTCCTGAATCCCTGCTATGGAATCAGAGGGAACAGCCCACGTTGGCAAAGGTACCCAAGGTCCGGGTCCAGCTAGGAGCGTGGTCCAGATAAAATAATTTCTAGTCTTCCTCCTTATCAAGAAGCACTTCTTTTTTTAAAAAAGTTTATTTTAGTGAAGTATAGTTTATTTACAATGTTGTGTTAATTCTCCTGGATGACAAAGTGATTCAGATATATATATCAGATACATAAATTCTTTTTCATACTCTTTTCCATTATGGTTTATTACAGGATGTGTGTGTGTGTATGTTAGTCACTCAGTTGTGTCTGACTCTTTGCAACCCCATGGACTGTAGCCCACCAGGCTCCTCTGTCCATGGGATTCTCCAGGCAAGAATACTGGCGAGGGTTGCCAGTTCCTCCTCCAGGGGATCTTCCCCACCCAGAGATTGAACCCAAGCCTCCCACTTTGCAGGCAGCTTCTTTTCCATCTAAGCCACCAGGGCAGCCCTATGTTGAATATATTTCTGGTTCCCTATGCTATACAGTGGGACCTTGCTGCTTAGCCATTGTATGTGTGATAGTTTGCATCTGCCCATCTCAAACCCCCACTCCATTCTTCTCCCACTCTTGCTCCCTGGCAAGCACAGGTCTGTTCTCTGTGTATCAGTTCATTTGCGTCATATTTTAGATTCCACATGTAAGTAACATTTGGTCTTTCTCTTTCTGGCTTACTTCACTTAGTATGATAATCTCTAGGTCCATGCATGTTGCTGAAACTGGCATTACATTGTCCTTTTCTTGACTGAGTAATATTCCACTATTTACCCTTTCATCTCTGGATGGACATTCGGGTTGTGTCCATGTCTTGGCTATGGTGAATGCTGCTGCTATGAATGTATGGGGTGCATGTATCTTTTCGAATGGTACTTTTGTCTGGATATATGCCCGGGAGTGGGATTGCTGGATGACACAGCAACTCTATTTTTAGTTTTTTGAAGAATCTCCATACTGTTCTCCGTAGTGGCTGCCACCAACTTGCATCCCCACCAACAGTGTCGGAGGGCTCCCTTTTCTCAAGGGGCACTTCTGTTTGGGGTGGGAAGGGGCTGGAGGAAGAGGCTGGCATGTGCGGCTTGCAGCCCAGAGGTGCCCCAGTGGTCTTCCGTGTCCCGTGGGGCTAGCGGCTGCTACCGTTCCTTCTCAGCCTCATTTGTGAGAATCCACAAATTCATTCCATGATGGGACTTGAGCAAATTACGTAGCTCTCTGGAGCCGGAAATCCCCTTCTGGAAGTGGGAGCAGTGATCCCTGCCCCACAGGTGGCTGTGCAGACAGGTGAGATCAGGTAGACCCAGGACTCCGCGGGTCAAGACCTCCCCCGACCTTGGTCTCAGCCCTTGTGGCAGAATCAGGACCTTGGCAGGTCACTCTCAACAGGCTGCCGACCCAGCTCACTAAGGATCCGCCTGAGAACACATCACACACCTTATCAGCGCCCTGTTCACTGTGTCCACGGCGATGCTAACGAAGACAGCTGTGAGTGAGCGAGCGTTCTCTGCGTCCCAGGGAACTGCCGTCTCTCAGCAGATCTGGTCCTCACCGCAGCCCTGCAAGGGAAGTCTTTATTATGATCCCCGCTTTGTAAGTGAGGACGCAGGGACTCAGAGACGTGGAGGCGTTTAGGAGGCAGAGCCAAGACCTGAAGCCGGGATGCCTACCTGTTTGCTGGGGGCCGTGGTGGCTGTTCCCCCCCGCATGAGAACTTTTCGTGACCTCCTCCCCCACTCCCGCCCCAATCTTCTTCATGTTTAATTGAGGGGAAACAGTTTCACAATACTGTGTTGGCCTCTGCCATACTTCAGCGTGAAGCGGTCATAGGTTGACACGTGTCCCCTCCGTCTTCAGCCTCCCTCCCGCCCCCGACTCCTTCCCACCCCTCTCGGTTGCTACAGAGCCCTGGTTTGAGCTCCCTCGGTCATATAGCAAATCCCCACTGGCTATCCATCTGACCCATGGTAGTGTATATGCTTCCATGTTTCTCTCTCCGTTCGCCCCACCCTCCCCTTCCTCCATCACCTGCTTGAACGGTGACGCCGCCTCCCCACCGAGGAGCCTTGTCCTCATGATGACAATCACACCACAGACATGTGGTCAGGCCTATAGATAGGACTAATTGATCCATGGCGCCCCTGGACTCTCAGACACAGCTGATTGCAGTGACGCATCTCTGGCAAGCTTGAAGGTGGTTTTTCCTCCCTCAAAGACTTTGTCTCTTTCAGGTTGGACCCTGGCCTCAGTTCCCAGAGAACAGAGAGGCCTGATTTGGCATCCCCAAAGAGCAGTCCAGGGTCTCCAGGGAGCTAGGCGTTGCCATGGCATCTGCCTTAGCTGCTCTGATGCTGGGCTCGGCCGGCGAGGTCCGGCTAAAGCATCTCATCATGCTAGGCTGATGGCCACGTTGCCAAGGGAATGTCAGCCTCTGAACAGCTCCAGGGCTGTGGGCCCTGGGGAGGAGGCCGCAGGGAGCAGGGACAGGATTCAGCAGGACAGCTCCCTCCTCGGGGCTGGCTTTCTGCTCCTGAACGGACCCTGCCTGTGACCGTGTCCCTGAGAGCCCGGCATGGTGCTGGTAGACAGACCACGCTCATTCCTTCGCTCCTTGGTTCAACCCATGTTTACTGAGCACGCTCTGTGCCAAGTACTGGGGGTGCATGGAGGGAGTGAACACAGACACAGGGCTGACCCTCGTGGAGCTTATATTTTAGTGGAAGAGGGAGCTACTCAAGATTGTGAAAGAACGATTGTGACGAAGGCCACTGAGAGAGTGACGTGGTGCTTGCCCGACAGCAGAATTTAACCGCATCCTGGAGGTCAGGAAGTCTACTTGAGTTGAGACCTCAGTGAATAGGTGTTAAGCTGGAAGAGGAGGAGAAGGAGGAGGAAGACGGCAGCAGAGGCAGAGAACAGAGAGGACTGCAGACCGGGCTGAAGACTCTGGCTTTAACCTCAAGGGCAAAAAGAAGCCGTCAGGAAGCCTCGAAGCAGGGGCTGATGTGATCTGATCTGCTATGAAATGATCGCATAGCTGCCGATGAAGATTTGGAAGGATGGCTCCAAGCAGGCATGGTGAGGTCAGAGGTCATGAAAAAGTGCTCAAGAAATATTTTGAACCTGTTTTCCAAATCTGTTCCCCGTCTCCCTTCCCCACTACCACCACCTGAGTTCAAGCATCTTGATCTCTTGCATGCAGCTCTACCAAACCCCACCCTTGCCCCTCACTGTTTGCCACCTGTTACTCACCTTGCAGGGATTAGCAAAATTCGCATTCAAATTTCTAAGTCCAATTATGCCCTTTATAGAGTCCACGGTGGTTCTCTGTGTCTTCCTCCTTCAGCCTGATGTGTGTGAGGGATGTCTCTCGTTGTAGTAATATTCCCTACCCTCCCAAAGCTTCCCTCAGCGTCTGGAACATTATTGTTGTTTAGTAGCTAAGTCGTGTCCAACTCTTTGCAGGCCTATGGACTGCAGCACACAAGGCTTCCTTGTTCTTCACTATCTCCTGGAGTTTGCTCAAATTCATATCCTTTGAACCTGGAATACAGGGTGACTTATCCCCAGGCATACTCTCTGCCTGGAATGTCATTTCCTCCTTCCAGTCTGTAGCATCTCTGCCTCACCCTTCAAGAGAGCCCAAGAGGCCCCAGCCCAATATTTTTCCTGTACCTTGGTCCAGGTTATGATTTATTTCCATGCTGCTTCTTTAGGTAAAGGGAAGAACAGATGTCTTTTTGAGCATCACTTAGATCAGGCTGTCAAAAGTACATACATTCATTTAGTCCTGGAAACAATTGTTATGTAAAGAAACTATTGTTATTTACATTTTTAAAGATGAGGAAACCAAGCCTCAAAGAAGGGAAACAACTCACCCAAGGATATACTGCAAGTAAGGAGAAGAGTTGGGGGTCTGTCTGCAGTCTGGGATGAAGGTGGGGGAGGCATCATTTGGCCTCCTGGTGTTCACTGCAGTAGGGAAATGAAGGAATTGGGAAATGATGCAACTAAATGAAGATAAATCTTGTCTTCCTTTGTATCTGCTCCCTGCTTGAGGTCCCTCTGTCTCAGACATTATTAATACTGGTGTCTTATGTTATAAACATTTTCCTTGGAAACGAACAGAGATCATTCTGTGGTTTTTGAGATTGCATCCAAGTACTGCATTTCAGACTCTTTTGTTGATTATGATGGCTATTCCATTTCTTCTAAGGGATTCTGGCCCACAGTAGTAGATATAATGGTCATCTGCATGTTAAAAAGCAGAGACATTACTTTGCCAACAAAGGTCCATCTCGTCAAGGCTATAGTTTTTCCAGTAGTCGTGTATGGATGTGAGAGTTGGACTATAAAGAAAACTGAGTGCCAAAGAATTGATGCTTTTGGACTGTGGTGTTGAAGATTCTTGAGAGTCCCTTGGACTGCAAGGAGATCCAACCAGTCCATCCTAAAGGAGATCAGTCCTGGGTGGTTCATTGGAAGGACTGACGTTGAAGCTGAGACTCCAATATTTTGGCCACCTGATAAGAAGAGCTGACTCATTTGTAAAGACCCTGACCCTGGGAAAGACTGAGGGCATGAGGAGAAGGGGACGACAGAGGATGAGGTGGTTGGATGGCATCACCGACTCGATGGACATGAGTTTGGGTAAACTTCTGGAGTTGGTGATGGACAGGGAGGCCTGGTGTGCTGCAGTTCTGGGGTCGCAGAGAGTTGGACACGACTGAGCAACTAAACTGAACTGAGTTAAACTCACCCATTCCAGTCCATTTTAGTTCACTGATTCCTAAAATGTTGATCTTCACTCTTGCCATCTCCTATTTGACCACTTCCAATTTGCCTCGATTCATGGAGCTAACATTCCAGGTTTCAATATTGCTCTTTACAGCGTTGGACCTTGCTTCCATCACCAGTCACATCCACAGTTGGGTGCTGTTTTTGCTTTGGCTCCATCTCTTCATTCTTTCTAGAATTATTTCTCCACTAACCTCCAGTAGCATATTGACCACCTACTGACCTGGGGAGATCATCTTTCAGTATTTTATCTTTTTTGCCTTTTCATACTGTTCTTGGGGTTCTCAAGGCAAGAATACTGAAGTGGTTTGCCATTCCCTTCTCCAGTAGACCACGTTTTGTCAGAATTCTCCACCATGACCCATCCGTCTTGGGTGGCCCAACACGGCATGGCTCATAGTTTCATTGAGTCAGACAAGGCTGTGGTCTATGTGATCAGATTGGTTAGTTTTCTGTGATTATGGTTTTCAGTCTGTCTGCCCTCTGATGCAGAAAGATAAGAGGCTTGTGGAAGCTTCCTGATGGGAGAGACTGACTGAGGGGGAAACTGGGTCTTGTTCTCATGGGCATAAAAAACATGCACACACACACAAAATAACATGAACAAGTGTATTGCACATGTGTATGTGTCTGGTTCTATGCAGACTACTTGGTTAGCGTTATCTCAATGAAAACTTTCCAGCAAGCAGAAAAGGAGGTGCCATGATTATGCCCTCCCCTGGAGGGGAAACTGAGGCCCATGCCACAGGAAGAGAGTCTGGACTGGGCTAGCCCCCAAGCCCACAGTCCCTCCCTCTATGAAATACACTTTGCCCATCTACAAGGAATGGTTTACCCTGGGTCTCAAGGTCGTTAGGAGCTTGACCACTTTTGTGGTCCTCCTAGCTTTTCCCAGAGCCTGAATGAAGTCCACTGCTTTCTCAGCCTCAGATCTTCTTGAGCACCTGGAATTCTCCAGCCAGAAGGACGCAATGTTTATTTCAGTTGACAGCACTCCATATACGCCTGCACGCATCTACCCAGCCAATAACATTCACTAGCGCCTGCTGCTGCCTGTCCTCCCATGTGCGGGGCTCTGCAGATCCAAAGAGCCTGGCTCTGAAGGAGCTGACGGGCCAGTGCTGTTCCCTGCCCACCAAAGCTATCAGTGACATTGCAGCGACCAGCTGGAAAATCTAATTTCTGAAAGGACCCGGTGATTATCGAAGGTTGGCAGCCTGAAGGCTTGCCCAGAAAATCCTCACTTTTCCCACCGCCACTGAAGTCTGGGGCAGATGCTGCAAATCAATGGGAAAGGAATTAGCTCAGCTGCGGCTTCTGCCTCAGGAGCATCAACAAGGAGGAAGCACCTTGCAGAGTCTGGGCAACGTCGTCATGGTTGGATTTCCTCCGCCTGGGCCGCTGGCTGAGACTTTTTGGGGGCAGATTGTCACCGCTTCTCCATCCGCATCAGCTCAGGAGGCATCTCTCAACATCTTGCTCTTGCTGTTGACATTTCTGCCAGTGGGGTGGCTGTGAGGCAAGCTCTGCCCTCCTGCAGAAGCTGCTGTAACAACTGGCATTTTTTGTGTGTGCTTTCTGTATGCCAGGCTCTTTGTAGGTGATGCTATACCTATAATGTGTACACCCGCCATGATCCTGTAACGTAGCAGGTGTTGTCCCCATTTTACTGATGAAAACACTGAGGCTTATTGAGGGAGGGGCACTTGGGTCAAGATCAGACAGCCAGGCAGCGGAGTGTTGGGCCAGGAGCCCTCGTCCCTCTGATGCACGCCTATGTTGACTGTATTGGTTTATGTCCGGGTAGCTCTGCCTGCAGGGTAAGCACTAAACAAAACTGTGAGGTTTTCTAAATTTTTGATACCTTTGCTTTGGGGGATATTAAGGAGGTCTGAGTACCTCAGAGAAGCCCAGGGAGGAGAAATGAATGTCCACTAGATACATTCTCAGCCTCCATGAAGGTAGTACCTAAAAGCTGGGGATCTGGAATCTATTTGCATAGGTAAGATGGGGGTTGGATTTCCAGACTGACCCACAAAATCCCATTTGACCCTTAACTATTTGGAGGATTACTAGTCATATTTTAGCTTCACCCAACTGTCACTTTCAACCCTGTTACTACAAGAAGGCACATTCCAAGATCTCACTCATGATACCAGCAACGTGTTTCAATGTCCACCCCCGAGCAACAGCCTCAGAGCTCCACCAAAAAGGCAAGTGTGTGTGCTAAGTCACTTCAGTTGTGTCCAACTCTGTGCAACCACATGGACTGTAGCCCACTAGGTTCCTCTGTCCATGGGATTCTCCAGGCAAGAATGCTGGAGTGGGTTGCCATTTCCTTCTCCAGGGGATCTTCCCAACCCAGGGATCGAACCCATGTCTCTTACATCTCCTGCATTGGCAGGCGGGTTCTTTACCACTAGCGCCACCACAAGGATGGGACTTAATTCCTTTATCTACAAAGAAAAGACCCCTCTGGACACTGGTGAACATGCCACATCCGTTTAAGATACGGACTAACACACAGCAGGTTCTTAGTACAAGTTGACCGAAACAAAAAGGCAGACAGTGGGGCAGGGGAGGAAGGTGGGTGGCAGGGGCTGTAAGAAATCAGGAAGGGGAAGCGCGATGGGCAGACGAGGAAGCGATTGCTTTGGTCGTTGTGCAGGTGTGTTGGGATGAAGGGCAGATGCTGCAGGTAAGTCAGCCAGACACGCCTGAGCTAAATTTGGCCTCCACCTACACCATATTACTTCTGGCTGGCTGGCCTGTCTCAGTGGCGGGGAAGGTGGTCCTGGCTGCGCTCCGTAGGGGCACCTGCCCTGTGACACAGCAGCTCCCCCAGGTCCCGGCTACCAGTGCGGGGCTCAGAGGCTGACGCTTGTACCTTGCAAATGACTCCTTCCCTTCCCTTCCTGGTGTCCATTTGCCCTTTCCTGACGGAAGAGGCTGTCTGGCAGACAAGCATCGCTGGGTGTTGCCATGGTGATGACTATGATGTCACTTGGGAGTAAATCAGATTGCAAGTCTCACAGTGGAACTGTTCTACATCGGGAGGGTTCTAAGGAACAAAAAAGGGGTTGATATGCCAAGGGGTCTGCACTAGAAAGGGATCATATGGCTGGGTCATGCGGCGACTGCTTTTAGTTTTATAGGGAACTTCCAGACTGTTCTCCATAGCGGCTGCTCCAGTTTAATTCCCACCGACGGCTCAGAAGGGCTCCCTCTCCCTTCGGAGAGTCTCCCACTCTCTCCCTGCCTTGTCACCTGAGACGAGGCTCGTTGGTCCCTTCATTCAGGCAAATCGTTTTTTGAGCACCTACACTGTATCAAGCACCAAGCTAGCGTCTGAGGACGGAACTGCAGGTGAGAGGACGTGCCCTGCATGGCTGCACAGTTTACAGACGAGTGGGGGGCGCAGGCACGTGAGAATTACACCGTAACGTTCAGAGGAGGCGACCCTTCCGAACTGTTGGCAGGAATGTAAATTGGTGCAGTGACTATGGAGAACAGTATGAAAGCTCCTTATAAAACCAAAAATAGGGTTGCCCTGTGATCCAGCAATCCCATTTCTAGGCATAGATCCAGACGAAACTATAATTCAAAAAGGTGCACACATCCTTATGTTCATAACAGCGCTATTCTTAGTAGCCATGACATGGAGACAGCCTAAATGTCCATTGACAGATGAATGGATAAAGAAAATGTGGTACATATACACAATGGAATATTACTCAACCATAAAAAATGAAATAATGCCTCTTGCAGCCACATGGATGCAGGTGGTGCCAGGGCTAAAGAACCCGCCTGTCAATGCAGGAGATGCAAGAGAGACAGATTTGCTCCCTGGGTGCGGAAGATCCCCTGGAGTAGGAAGTGGCAAGCACTCCAGGATTCTTGCCTGGAAAATCCGATGGACAGATGAGCCTGGTGGGATGCAGTCCATAGGGTTGCATGGAGTAGGCTTCGACTGAGCGCACACACACGCACACACTCTTCCCAGCCACATGGATAGAGCTCAAGATAACTTACTAACAGAAGTAAATCAGAAGGAGAAAGGCAAATACCATATGATATCACTTATCCATGGAATCTAAAATATGGCACAAGTGAACCTATCTACAAAAACGGAAACAGACTCACAGGCATAGAGAACACATTTGAGGTTGCCGAAGCGGGGGATGGTGGGTACGGGAGGACTGGATTGGAAGTTTTGGATTAGCAGATGAAAATTGCTATATACCAAACAGATAAACAACAAGGTCCTACTGAATAGCACAGGGACCTATATTCAATATCCTGTAACGAACTCTAATGGAAAAGAAAAAGAAATCACACCATAACATATCACTGCCATTGTGATTCATGCTATGAAGGAACATACCAGGAATGTTTTAATTTGCTTAGGCTCCCATAACACAGTATGGCATATACCACCCATACCATCACAGGTCGGGTGGTTTAAACAACAGAAATTTATTTTCTCAATTCTGGAGGCTAGAATTCCCAGATCAAGGTGTTGGACAGGGGTTGGTTTCGTCTTTGGGCTCCCCTTAGCTTGTAGTTGGCCGTATTCTCTCGTGTCTTAAATAACTTTCCTTCTACACTTTTCTTATAAAGACACCAATCATACTGGATTAGGGCCCACCCTTCCCATCTCCTGTGAGCAATAGGAAGCCACCAGTGGGCTGTAAAGAGAAGAGCACCTCAATCAGCATGTTCTTGTGAAAGATGGTTCTTCCAATGGTTTGGGGAGGATGCCCATTACAGGGGCTATAAGAGCAGCTTAGGTGTGATAGGCTGTGTTATTTCCCTCCAATTCTTTCTCCCTTCCTGGCCTTGCCATGGTTTCCCTTCTATGGGAGGAACATAACATTTCTCCCCTATCGTCTTGGGCATTAACTATATAATTTGCTTTAACTAATAGAATGTTAGCAGATATAACGCAAACAAGGGCTTTATAAGCAATTGTACTGTTTGGCTTCTTCTCTTATGCACCATCTGCCATGAGAAGAAAATGCCCTGGGTAGAAAATGTCCATGAAGAATAAGGAAACCTAAAGAGAAAACCAGAACCTGACCTGTAGCCTAAAGAAGCACTCTCCCAAATGACCCACACACCTATCCTCAAGAAATGCTATGGCAAGTCACTGAGATTTGGAGGGGGTTGTTTGTTATGTAGCATTATCATACCAACATCTGACAAATACACTAAGCAGGAGATGGGGTTGACTTGAATTAAGGTGATGGCAATAGGGTTGGCAGAAGTGGGCGGGTTCTAGATGTTTTTTGTAGTTGACCACGTATCAGTGGCATTTACAACCTGGGCTGAACAATGGGAGTTAGGGTTTCAACATGTGAATTTTGAGGGGATGCTATTCAATCCATAAGAGGTACCAGGTGCTGGGAACAAAAGCAAAAGTTGTATAACCTCTTAAGATTTAGATGGAATAATCATAGAGCATCATACCCACTGCATTTTGTCTGTTAGAGACATCAAGTCATATGGCCAGCTCAGATTCAGGGGGATGGGAGAAGCAGATTCCACATCTTGGTGGGAGGAGTTGCAAAGCCACATCTACAAAAGGGCATGCAGATAGGAGAGACCATGTGTCTATCTTTGGAAGTGAGCATCACAGAGGCTTTGAGGATGAGTGAGTAGGAAACTTCAGAATTCTCCCTGGTCCCCACCAAACGACTTGACACTTATCTGGGTCTTCTTGACATTTGAAGACCAACGTATCCCCAGGAAAGTCTCTTCTCACTCGCCTTCTCAGTCTAGCTAGTTATTTGAGGACATCCATTCTGGAATGATTTCATTTTACAGCTCGATAGTGGCAGAATTGGTTTGAGTGTGAAAATGATGAAGCCCTCAACATCAGGCAATGGACTGATGACATGGGAAGCTTGTGTTTTGCCCGCCAGTCCCATCCCCTCCCATCCCTCCTTCTTACCACAAGTAAACTCTTGTGATCCTTTTGTGAGCTACACCTCCTCCGCCAGGGGCAGGAGTGGTTGGACTGTCAGTCAAGGTGTCCTGCCCATCACCTAGGCGAGACGTAGACCTAGGACCCAGGGCTGCTCCCAGAATTTGCGTCTAAAGAGAAGTCGTGTGAAGACAGGGTGAACACGATTCACCCATGGGGCCTGGCAGGGATTATGGTTGTTTCCTGCCCGCTGGATTTTTAGTTTCTTGTTCTTCCTGAGTCTTGGTTTGTGTGCTTATTCCAATTTTCCCTTTGATTTGTAAGCTCTCCCATATCTTCCCAAAGAACTTCATTGCTTAAGTGAGCCAGTGGATTTCTTTTTTTTTAAATTAATTTTTGTTGGAGTATAGCTGCTTTGAGAAACCTAGACAGCGTATTAAAAAGCAGAGATATCAGTTTGCCAACAAAGGTCCATATAGTCAAAGCTATGGTTTTTCCAGTAGACATATACGGTTGTGAGAGTTGGACCATAAAGAAGACAAATGCCGAAGAACTGATGCTTCTGAATTGTGTTGCTGGAGAAGACTCTTGAAAGTCCCTTGGACTGCAAGGAGATCCAACCAATCCATTCTAAAGAAAATCAACCACGAATATTCATTGGAAGGACTAATGCTGAAGCTGAAACTCCAATACTTTGGCCACCTGACATGAAGAGTCGACTCTTTGGAAAAGGCCATGATGCAGGGAAAGATTGAGGGCAGGAGGAGAAGGGGATGACAGAGGATGAGATGGTTGGATGGCATCACCAACGCGATGGACATGAATTTGAGCAAGCTCCAGGAGATAGTAAAGGACAGGGAAGCCTGGTGTGCTGCAGTCTGTGGGGTCACAAAGAGTCAGACACGACTGAGTGATTGAACAGTAATAAATACAAATGGCAAATTTTATTTTTAGTTGTTGTGTGTTTATTTCTTTGGACATTAATATGGATAGTGAGCACCCCATGGCTGAAATTTTGTGGCTATTATTTTTTTATGTGCTTGGCTGCTCAGTCATGTCTGACTCTTTGTGACCCCCGTGGACTGTAACCCACCAGGCTCCTCAGCCCGTGGAATCTTCCAGGCAAGAATACTCGAGTGGGGTGCCATATCCTACTCCAGGGGATCTTCCCAACTGAAGGATGGAACCTGCGTCTCCTCCATTGGGTGGCAGACTTTTCACCGCTGAGCCACCAGGGGGGTCCTGGATAGATGGCAAAGGATGTCGCAATCATCAGACAAGCGCAGCTTTAGACGCAGGGCTTACCAAGGAGGCATCAGGAAGACGGCTGTGGACGGTGAGGGCGGCAGGGCGGAGGGAAGCAAGGCTGGGCCGGGCTGGACCTGGGCCCAGGAGGGTCAGAGATCCCTGCAGAACATTCCACCTCGGGCAGTGGTGAGGCAGTGTCTGCCCTCTATGAGCAGGACTCTGTGGACTGGATCCCTGTCTGCCTTGCCGTGTCCTAAGCCTGGTGCCTGCTCTGCTTTGGGAAGATGAACTCAAGCCCTGCCTCCAGGGATGAGCTGTGCTGTGGCCACAGGGGCAGGCGAGGGCGGCCTCCATCTCTCCTGCCCCTGCCTTAGAATCGATCCCTTGCTAAGTTCCCTCAAGTCGGGAAGTGGCAGAAGCCACAGGTTTGGGGGATTAGACAGGGCTGAACGTAAACCCTGGCTCTGAGGAGTCACCAGCTTTGAGGCCTTAGGTTAGTCCCCTCCTACTCTGAGCCTCAGTTCCTCGTCTGTAAAATGGGAGTGATAAAATTCTGGGGAAAATGTGTTCCTCATCTAATTCCCCCGAAGATTTGGAATGGCAGCAGGCAGGGATAATAATGCCCGGTGACTCATGCAGCTGCAGAGAGAGCAGATGGGGTGTTCTGCAAGGGCACCCAGCGCAGGGATCTGGGAATCCATGCTGCTTTACTCGCCCATGTGAGGCCCCCCGAAACCCACCCCCAGCCTCAGTGTGTGAGCCTGTGGGAGGGAATGGTCAGGGAGGGCTGCGTGGGACGGGTA